TTTTATTATTGTGTTAGATTAATCAGGACTTATAGCGAACGCCTTACATTCCCAGAATTGAACGTTTTAAGTTGAAAAGTCTTTACAGCGTAATTTCAAGACAGGATTTAAACAATATATACAATCTGAACAGAGATTTAAGCGCATCAAATTTAAGAAATTCAAAAGACTTCAAAATGAAATATATATAGCTCACCGATTTGAAATAAAATTTCCTTCTAGAAATTTGAAAATATTGATTTATTTTGATAAAATTTTGATTATAATTTTTGTAATATTAATAAAGAATTTATAATATTAATAAAATTGTAATATTACAATAATTAATTAAAGAAATAAAGAAAAGGAATTTAAGCAAATTTAAAAAATACAAGCCTTAAAAATATTAACTTACGACTTGAAAAAAATTCGAAATAAAATTTGCTTCCGAAAATTCGAAAGTAATAGTTATTGTAATTTCTCTTATTGTAATTTCTATAATATTTATTGTAATTTATTTTATTGTAGTTTCTTTAATATTTCTAATTTATGAATACATATTAGGTATGAGAAAAAGTTCGTGGCGTTTTTTTAATGCCATCTAATGGGAAAAACGCCACGAACTTTTTCCCACACCTAATATTTTATCATTTTTACATTATTAATAAAGAAGTACTAAAGAGACAATTAAGAAGTTTTAAACTTCAAATTTAAACAGTACAGAATATTTGAAAGTAAAATATTAATCCACTCAAAAAAATTCGAAAAAAAATTTGCTTTGAAGAATTCAAAAATTATGGTTCTTATACATTATAATTTTTATAATATAATATATTATGATTTTATATAATTACATATTTCATAATTTTTGTATTTGATATTAATACAAAAGTGATAAAAGAACAAAAGTTTACGGAAAAGATTTGCAACAATATATAAGTATATCTTCTATTTTCTCTTATTTTTTTCCATGATTCATCACAAAATTTATATTAAATAAAAATGTTACAATTAATTAAGAGCTTGTGAAAGCTTTTGATTTGAGCTATTATCTTACTCGATCATTAAACCCCAATCAATCAATAAACTGCGTAATTGACCACATAATTATTGAATTTAACATAGTGTATCTACATAGCGTTACAGGTTGCACATCGACGTTATGGATTAACGTTATAGATTAATGTTATGTTACACTCGCGGACTATTTCAGATATGCGATGGCTTTGCACTATAGTTCTGCATTTCAGATAACAATGCACTATATTTAATATCCTCGATTCTCTAGCAAGTACAGATATGTATAATTGTGATTTCCGAAAAAATTCTCCATCAATATGGAGATTATTTGAATCGCCCATATTTTATCTATGTGTTTTATGATGTTCCATATACAAAAATATTGATTCGCGTTATCGACACTGCGGTAATAACTACAACCCGAGTCCCATTTAAACAATTTAATTGATCGTTCATTAATTCAAATTTTGGAATTTTTAGTTAAAAACGAAACAAAAAATAAACATCGAGTCTCCAAACGATTTTGCTGCATGTACTGGCATCGAATTTCGAAAACTCGCGAGGTCATATATTACAAGATAAACCTGAGAAAGAGATAAGACAAAGAAACTGATAAAATTTCGAATTATTGCAACCAAAAGGCTCTTAGTAACAATTCGTCTCACGTTCGCATAATAAATCGGATTACGTAACAGTACGTATATCGCGAGCGCGAAGCTTCGAGATATGATAACGTAACGGCCGACAGAGAAGCATGCACACGAAAAGTGAAAGGAACCTACCGGACGGGCGGACACTATTTTACCGGGCACTGAATGACTGAATGATTGAATGACTGACTGGCTGACTGCGGATGTTGGGCCCATGTTCTGCTTATATCGGTACGGTACCCCCGTGCGAATCCCCCACCCGTAGGGTAGACAAATCACAAACGAGTATCTCGTAAACGATCCTGCACCGACGATACCAGCGACCGGATGATCATCGAAGATAACGGAAGATTCTGGACCCTCCGCTAGACCCCGTGCCGGCGAAAGAAGCCGGCACGGTATGATTCAGCCAATCAAATGTGGCTACACAATTGATGTTATAAAACGTAACGATAATTCCACAGCAACATAATTATCAGCCGCAAATATAATAAAAAAACGTTGTATATTTGTATCAATCCACAAGAAACAATCACTCGAATCCTTGTCAAAATTTTGTGTTGAATTTTTAATATATCCGCGAATGTTAATTTAACATAATATGATTGTGTTATTTGAATATTTTGTGTTAAATGATATTCAATATTTTCAACCGTTTGAGACATGTTAAATTTAACAAATTTTCCAATTGTGTAGGAAGCAGCGAAACGCTGTAACAAGTTATTGTAAAATAAAAAAGTAATAAATATACACTGTTGGAAAATTTGTGTCGAATATGACACAATTTTACACGTCCCAAATGGTTCACTCAAATTATTATGTTCATTTAACATAAGATGAATATGATATAGAAAAAAACACAAATATTGTAAAAAAAAAGATCACAAAAAAGATAACGCTAACATAATTTGTAAATAAATTGTAGAATATATTTTTTTAGTATAATTAACATTTATGATATGTTAAATTAACACATATTTTATTCATTTATCTCAAAATTTAAAAACACATTTTTATGTTATTTACTCCTGATAAATTATGTCATTTTTGACTAAAAAATAAATATCAATAATACAAAATCTTTAAACAATATATAATCATATTAAATTAAAAAATATACACTAGAGTATGTTAAAATTCTTAAGTGATTAACAAGAACGCAAATGGATTGTTTCCGACATAAATACTCAACTATTTTTTACCGTGCAAATGTAAGATATTGAAACTATCTGGCACATTCGGATCAATATCTGATAAAGATCACAATATTTGAAAAGAAAAATGAATGTCATGAAATATCATTCTATAAAATATCTTTGAGATGATTATCACGGCAGTCTCATAAATAATTGTAAAATTTGTGTTGAATCTAATACATTTCACATATCATCTTAAACGATCCATCCATATTTTTTATGTTAATTTAATACTATATTAATATATTAGGAAATTGTAACACAAATATTATGTAAAAAATTAATATAAAAGTAACATTGGCATAATTTGTAAGCAAATTCTAAAAAACACATTTCTTCAGTAAAATTAACATTTATAATAACATGTTAAAGTAACACATTCTAGTAAAATTAACATTTATACATAATATGTTAAATTAATACATTTTATTTATTTATCTTAAAAGTTAAAAATAAATATATTTTCTTATTTATTTCTACGTAAATTGTGTTATTTTAACCTTACAATATTGATTATTAAACGAAAAAAATATTCATTTAATATGTTCAAATAATACAATCACATTGTTAATACTTAAATATATTAAAAATTCGACACAAAAATTCTAACAAGGATCGATTTTAACACAAATAAAAAACATTTTTTATATTTTTGATTATAAAAAGATAAGAGATAGGAACTTTATATATAGGAAATTTATATATAAATCGACTGATTTAATTAACAAGCGCGCAAATCTATGATGTAAATTCGGATGTGTTTATTGACTTGAACGTTAGCAGTTTAGTTTCGATTAGAGCTGACTGTTATTAGGAAGCTAGCAATGCGCCACACGATACAACATACGTACCATTTAGATTAATAGGATAATAGTGAAAAGGATGTTAGATATTCACGATCGGAGCTCTTGAATTTGTTCAAGTAACTAACTGCAATAAGTGTGTCATCAATGAATGTACACGAAACTTGTCGTCGTGAGAGCAAAATTAGCATCATTAGCGACTTGTTAACACTCGCGAAGAAATCCGAACATTAAACCTGTCGTTTTCACACGTAAAATCTGTCTGCCGAGCTCGGCAATAAATGGACATTTTATTCATTTATACATTCATTAAATATTATCTATATATGAGTCACTTACTATTCGAAAAAATTATAAACTTTATTTTAATATCGTTCTTCTGTTTACTTAGTAAGTATTTATATAATACTTAATACTTTTATATAATTATACTTGAAGTTAATATGTATATTTAAACATTACATAATGGGATCACAATAATTAAACATGAAAATAATCGAAAAAGAATTAGAAATTTGCCTTGATAATTAAAAAGGAGGATGCTTGCACAGAATACAAGAGATTCGTTTCCCGTCCAAGGTAATTTTATTGTAAAAAATATTACCTCTATATTACCTATATTAATAATCAAATTATTAACATCTTAAGATGCCTATAAACATCAATATTATTAAAATTGCTTGTCAATTTAATTGTGATTGTGTTATTACTCCGATTCACAGTTTAGAACTGTGTTTAAAGACCGACAAATTTGTCGGCGCGCAATTTGTTTGAACTGGAAATGTATAATGTATACCTAAATATAAATTCATAAGAAATATCATTAGACACGAAGAACTGCCTTGACCGAAATATTTTTCACTTACATATGTAAAAACTGTGAATTAAAAACTCACTAAAAAGTTCCTTTTTACTTTACTAAAAAACTTTTTACTTTACTCTGAAAGTATTTTTTACTCGGATATACTTTTTTGGAATATTTTGACGTATTATGTATTGTTTAGTATTCACAAATTCTACAATATATCCATCTAAAAGATTCCTGTATCAAAATAGATATCAAAATCAAAATGTAGAACAATGAGTACTAACAGTAAGTGGCGATGGCTATGGATATACATTCCGCTAATAATAATTATTTGAAAGATATTTTACTGTTTTCAAAATTAAGTAAATATTTAATTTAATTTAACTTAATTTAGTTTATTGCAAAGCTATGAAAAAGTGCAAAACTATATATTAACAGAGTAATAGACATAAAATATGATACAATAGACTATAATTAACATAAATATAAATATAATAGACAATAATAGCTTGCAAATGGTTAGACGTCAACAAATTGCTATTACAAAGCCATCAGTAACAAAACCAGATACTATAATAATACATATACATAATAATAATACAACAATGCAATAAGAGGTAAATCAATAACTGAGATCTCACACACACACACACACACACACACACACACACACACACACACACACACACACACACACACACACACACACACACACGCACGCACGCACACGCACGCACGCACGCACACACACGAATTACATCTCGTCTCGTTTAAATACTGTAAGTAACGCGAGACAGCGAAATGAAAGGAAAGAGAGGGAGAGGTTTTTTTTTATTGAATCAGAAAGGAAATAAAAATATTTGTGATAGAGATAGAAAAGAAGCAGCACAGAACTTAGATCGAATATAAAGGGGAAAGATAAATAATCTTTGATCTGGTGACAAGAGGATTAAAAAGAAGAATGATGTTCAGAGTTCAACTGAAGGAGATATTACAGATATAGAGGGATATTGGAGCGAAGAAGAGAAAATACAAGACAGTATAGGTGGAGAATAAAACATTGCCAAATCTTAAGTCAGTCAGATCTCTGATAATCTCTGGTATACGGAGATATATGATCGTATTTACGAACACAATAGGAAAAGCGAAGACAAGAATTTTAGATATGCTCAACACGATTTAGCAGATGTTGGTTAAGAGCCGGAACGTAGACGACATTAGTGTAATCAAATAGAGAAATAACAAGTAATTGAGAACTGAGGAGTTTTGAGAGTTTTTGAGAGTAGGAAAGGATATGATGAAGAGGATAAAGAAGATGTAAACGAGCATAAGCAGCCCGACAATTGACGGCCACATGTGACTCGAATGATCATGAAGTCTATACCTTCGTTAACACAAATAATACTTTATGAAAATAATTGATGTTGTTTTTATGTGTTACACTGTAAAAAGTGCAACGTTTAAAATATTTACGTTTAAAATAGCTTTACAAAACAAATGTTTAATAATAAAAAATATCTCAATATATTAAACGCTTGTGTTTGAAATTCAAATACACAATGTCTTGTTTATTGAAAATATTAAAAACTAAAACATCTTAACGTGTTCAAAAAAACAAAGATAAAAACAAAACATTTTAATATCTTAAAATTAAACATTTCATTTACGAATGTATACTTGTTGTAATTATACATATTTTAAATTTAAATTAGTAAAACAACGCTCATCGGACATCTTTAATTATTTTTGAATTAATATTATATTGGGATGTTGTCTCAATAATTGAAATTTAGAATATAATTACAAAATAGTGTTAGTTATGTTAATAGAATATTATTTGTGTTAATTATAGTTCAAGCTATATTTAGTTTTTAAAATCGAAGTAAAATATCTATCCGCATCCAAATAATTATCAGTAGTAGTGTATTTATTGTAAGATCATTGATGAGAAAATCAACTTATCGACTCATCGCAACAATACAAAAATTTCGTCTCGATTTAAAATTCTAAAGAAATATTAAAAAATATTAAATATCTCAAAATAATGTATCAAATTTTTTTAACAATATTTTAACAATAAATATTAAATCCAATTCGTTATATTAATATTCAAAATAAATTATAAAAAGACAAAAATCGAGTGTATAAAAGATATTAGTGGATAGTAATAGACTTTTGATTTCAAAATATATAAGCGGAATAAGTTTCGACTTTACTCGTCAGTTTTTCATCAGCCACATTATAACAAATAAAATTACGAAAATCTAAATTAAATCAAAGATTTAAAATATCCGTGGTCAAAAAGAAATATAAAAAAAATATTTCTATATCTTTTTTATACATTTTTCATGAATTCTATATTACTTCGATTTTAAAAAACTGTTTTATAGTTGATATTTTTCAGCA